TAGAAGTAATGCCAAAAGTAATGCTCCCTATTTATTTTCATAGAAATTACAGCAGATACAAAGAGCACAATAATACTATTCGATAGTGCAAATTTTCAGTTACCAAACTGTTTTTCAACACAGTCACTTCCATTAGATATACATTTTCACCAGTGATAAATGAGAGCCTGCATGGTGTATAAATCTGCACCAGTGGAGATGATCCATTGTCCCTGTCACTACTGCTGAAATGCATCACTCACCACCTTAGTGTGTTAACATCCACTGTTCAGCAAGTGTTGATGAATGTCACTGAGTGCCATTTTTTTCTGCATGGTGGAATTGAATGATACATCTTTGCTTCATACACACTTCCATGTCAGACTCCATTTTGTCAGACTGCCCTTCTGTTGCTATTTGTCACATGGTTAGAAAATGTGATTAAATATGAGTGGGAAGGCTTAACCTCTACTGCCATACTATCACCATCTGCATCTGGTGTCATGGGCAAACATAATAAAACAGGAGGCACTACTTTTGGAGCAGCAAAATATGTAATATAGTTGATGCTTACAAGTAACTAAACTTATGTTGAGTTTTAATTTTTTAAAATTAAAACATAAGGACATGAGATGGCATGGGTCACAGTATGTGATGTGCTGGGACACGTGGCCCACAGGCTGCAGATTGGACATTCCTAAGTTAAACAGAACTTAAGTAGGGGAATGCAGTTCTATAATTACCATAATCATCTTGGACATTTATGCCAACATCAATTTTGGGAGCCAAAGATTTATGTACAGACCTATCTGTATCAGAAATTTGAATTACGTCTGTTTCTCTTTCATCTGTACTATTCTCCTACAGTTGTTGGTCTTGGAAAATCTGCTCAAGAGGAGCTGTGCAAAGAATTACCCTGCTTTTGAAACTTTTGCTTTTTGTTAGTGAGAGATGTATTTATATTTTAAGTCTTGCTTAAATTATTTGATGCTTGTATATGTTGGGATTTTTTGTAGGCTACCAGTGATTTACTGCAGATTTTGTATAGCCACTGGGGAAATTAAAGACTTTGAATCCAGGTGAAAGAATCAAATCTGCATTGTCTTTATTTCAGAACTGATTTCCTGTAGGTCTTGCTTTGAAAGGAAGGCATTTAAAATCTCTAAGTCAAATAAATACATAGTACTTCTTGTAGACTGAATTAAAGCTACCATATTAAAATCATTTGGAGGAACATCTTGATCCATATTTGCCCACATCTAATAATTACTAGTAGATTAAAATTTACCCATAGTATCAGTAGGCATTCAAACATTGGCAACCATGAAAGAGCAGGTTGTTGATTTTTTTTTCATGGGCTGGTTTTTTTTGTTTTGTTTTGTTTTGTTTGCTTGTTTATTTTGCTTATGTATATATGAGCCAATGGTTAAACCAGTCATACTTGTAGTTACAAAATCAGAAGATGTTCTGTGATAACCAGTAGCTATACCAATGTAATTACCCACCATTGACTTTCACATGCACAGTACTGCATGTCTTAGCATCACTACCCATGATACAATGTTGTGCTTTTGTCCCATCATGTAGAGAAGCTTGTAATTATACTTCAGCTGAGAGAAAAAGAGTTTGCTCACAGGGTAGTTCTTCATTTGTACCATAAGGGTTCTAAAAATTATTTCAATCCTTCTAACTTAAAGCACAAAGTGCATTGTTACTTTTCTTCTTTTTAGCCTAAAGAAGTAAATTAAAGGAAAAAATAAGGAAGCATATTTTCTTGGTAAATTTTACCAAAAACCTGTGTCTTGTTGTGCTCTGAGTATATTCAATATGAAAGTTGATATTTGATCTAAACTTAGTCACATCTGGGTGGGGTTATTTCAGAGATCAAACTTGGAGCAAGACTGGGCTGCTAAGGGCCTTGTCCAGCTGAATTTTGAATATTTCTGAGCATGGAGATTCTACAGCTAGTCAACCTGTTTCAGTGCATTCTTGGGAAAAACCTTTTTTCTTCCTATTTATGTCACTTTCACTTTTGCCATCTGTTGCTTTCATTTGCTGTGTATCTTTGAGGAGAATCTGTCTGCCTCTTCTCTATAATCTACCAGTAGTCAGTGACAGACAAGAGATAAATTGCATCCCCCTCCTTAGTCCTTCACTTCTGCAAACCAAGCTCCCTCAACTGGGGTTTATTTAATAAGCACAGGTACTAGAGCTTTTACTTTTCTGGTTTATTAAGTGCTTACTACCTCTCCCCAGACCAGCAATACTGTGTTTTGTCACCCCCAGAGGAAAGTAGGATGTAAGTGTGGTAAGAACTTTGTCTTGTATTTTATTATCATCTAAAGTCTTCAATTAATAGTGCTATGCTAATTAAGTCTTTTAAATTTCGGACAGATATAAGGATTCACTCCTTAACAATAAAACTGGGAATATATCTATTGGCTAGTTGGCTAACAGTTATTACTCATGAGCAACAGCTGTGACCAAACAGTGGATAGATACCAGTCTTTTTTCAAAGTCTGGGTGCTTTACTGGTTTGATTCTGGGAGAAGAGACAGGCAGAACCATTATAAATTAGTTTTGTGAGATGAGATTAAGGGAAAAGTAACAACAGACTGATAATGATGTTAATCTAAACTGAGTACTTTAAAATATTTTCTCCTACAGGGAATTATTCTGAAATTGGTGCTAGCAATTAAAAATCTTTCTGAAGGTGGGGATTAAACAGGGCAGGTATTAAATGCCCTGGGTAGAATCTTTAATTCAGAAGTCTCCTAGGAGTTAGAGACATCAGTCCCTGGTACATTAAATATTTAATTATAATTCCAGGGATATAAGCAGAGTACTGCTATAGAATCTCAGAGGCAGACGAAGCAGGATTTACTGTGCTCAACTCTAGGTTAAGCTCTAGGTTACAGCAAAGATATAGACATTTATTTCTGAGCAAGCTACCTCAATTCTCATGATATCCAGAAACAAAAAACATAAGTTGTCTGATTTTGGGGAGATGTCTTCATTATGGTAGTGATTAACTGTATTGTAGAAGCATCTTGTTCTCTTCTTTGACTCTAAAAGTCCAGATAACCATATCAAATGCCTGAAGCTAAGAGAGATGAATCTGACTGTGGTGAACTGTGCATTGTCATTAACAATATTAGTGGTAATGAGAACTTGCTTGGTAGATCTATTTGTGTGGTAGCTCAACTGAAATGAATTACATTTTGTATACTAATATAAACTCATCCATTCCAAATATAATTTCAAGGTATTTCACTCACTGCCAGTCCATCTTCTTCAAAAACGAAGAGCACTATATGATTTTATATGGTGCTCCATTTTTTTTTTTAGGTAAATGAAAATTATGCAGTTGCATGAACAGTTTAATTCTTCTGAAAATTAAGGGTAAACTCTAATATTGGTATAACCAGCTAATTATGAAATTGCTTAAGTATCACAGAACTATCTCCCTGGAGATCCTTAGTGGTTTCTGAGCTTGAACAAGATAAAGAAGCAGGCTTGAGAAGACCAAGTGAACTAGATTGTTCCCTCCCATGTTATCAGAGAAGGCTGTTTAAAACTGCCTCCTGCAAGCTTCTGCCTCTCGTGCAACCCCTCCTGGGGGGGGGGCTGTATTTCAGTGATTTTTCTCCTTTGTCAGCAGTTTCAGTTAGGCCTGGCTTGCACCAACTGACTTCAGCCCAGAAATGGTGGCCACTGCCTTCATAGCACCTTCCTGTTGTCAAAACTGAGATGGCTTCAGGCTGGGCTTGGCAGTGTAGCATTCTGGAGTTCTGTGATTTTAGGGTTGATGAAAGGTTCAGGCTGAAGGTATAGCTCACCTAGGGGAAAATAAGGACTAGAGGAAAACAGACAACTTTAGTCTTCCAGTCTTGTACTGTTGGGAGAGTTTAACCGATTTGTGCAGAAAGATATCACTTAACAATTTTACATTCTTTTAGCTTAGCCTTATGGAGTTTTTTCACTAGATAGTATGAAGGTGGCTATAGCTGTCATAATTCATTCTTTTAATGTGAGGTTAATGTGTATCTATCTACATTAGATATTAAGAGAAACAGATGGAGCTATGAACACAGTGAATCACAGGGAATCTGTAAGATTTTTTCTTAGTAAGATAATTTTTCTTTCATGAGTCTGCCTTAAATATCAGAAATCTTAATTTACCATACAAATGCCAGGTCCACAGTGCCCTGGTGAGTCTTTGAAGATTCAAGCTAAATGCTGAGTTTGTTCAGGTTGAGACTAAACCAAGGAAAAGCAAATGCAGGTCTGCTTATTTCAATCATAAGAAGAAACTAGCAGTTTCTAACACAAACCATAGCTTACTGTCATTCCTGACAACACATCAGCTTCCTCAACAGCAACCTTAAGGCAGAGGTAGGCTGTGTAGTTTCTTAAACAGGTTTGTTAGAAGCTTCAAGTGAGGTTAATTGGCATGGTTCCCACATTCAGAAAACCCAAACAGCATTTCCATTGCTCTTCAATCAGACAGGATGGAGGAAGAATGCTTCTGATGATTTTAATTGCAGCTGAGGTCTTCCAGAAGTGGAAAAATAATAAACAATCCTAGTGAAGGATGTCTCTGAAATACTCCAGCATTTTTAGTATAATGAACTGGATGGTATAAGTACACACCCTCCTCTGGTTTGAGATAATTGATCTGGTATTTACCTTGTGCATGTGCAGAAAATTAAGGCTTGTTGCAAAACTAGTGGCTATCACCTGGAGAAAATGATCAAGAGAAGTATCTCCACCTCTTGATGCTTTCAAAACATCTTTTAGGAGCATATTTCAGGATGTGGAAGCTTTAGTTGTATCTTTCATAGTGCTTGGTGGAGAGGATGACATTGGAGACTATGTGACTTCAGGAGATTCAACCACGAAGCTGCTTTATGTGTAAATTCTACAGAGAATACTTTGCTTGCATTTTCTATTAAGAATTTGGAGTGAAATGTTCCTAAACAGTATTTGAAGTGATAAAAAAAGTTCTTTTCATTCTCCACATTAAAATAAATATTTTTATTTGATTTTTTTGCCAACTGCTTTTCATTTTCTTCTCTCCTCTCCATGGCTCATATTGCAGTAATCTGTAGTTTTGGAACAAGATGATCAGAAATTAGTACCTGCTTTTACTGAAATAATCATCTTGGTTACCATGTGCAGCCAAAGTGACAGGTCTGAAGTCTTCTGTTGCATTTGACCTCACCTCCTGCGTAGGATGCAGTAAGGAGCTGTCATACTTTACATGGAGCTGAGAGCCCAGAATGTTGCTCTGTTCCATCTGTATGAGGGAAAGATTGCACCACATACTCTCTAGAACATGTGTTCTGCTGAAAAGCAGTGTTCATTTTGGCTTACCTCCACACAGGCTAGTGATGGAGAAGAGTAGACATTTTGGAGGGTGTGTCTTCTCACTCATCTTTAATTTCTCCTACTTTGTTCTTGGAATATGAGGTACAATCTGTCAATTTTATAGAGGAAATACAGACTTTTTCTCTATGACAAGGAAAAGGAATTCAGCTTCTATGAAAAGGAGACAGAAACCTGTGCTGGCATCAAGGTTCACAGCTCCCACTAGCACAGGTGTATTCAATTTGTGGCCTGCAATCCTCATGCAGCCTGGAACAGTTCAGACTTTGGCCTGCCTCCACCCCACACCATCATGATGGTAGCTCTTCCCTGCCAAGTGGCCTAGCCCAGCCCAGGGTGCACACCTCTTAGTCAGCAACAACCAAACATTTGTGTGCAATTGGCACTGCATGGGCTGAAACCAGGACACAGGGAGGGCACAGTGCAGTGCTAACTAAGTTATGGTAATAATTTGATGTATTTTGATACATTAGCTAAGCACAGTCCTGCAAACAGCAGACAGTATGAAGAGTGGAAAAAGAAGGGTTGTGCTCTATAAAGGATGGTTTAGATCATAATATGAGGCTTTGAACCTTTCAAAATGGGACTTTGTACTCACCAGCTCAGGAGCTAGATCCTAAAGTGATGCTTTGATCTCTCAAAAATGGGCATTTGATCCCTTTGGGGCCCTAAATATCAGACTTTGGCCACTGGCATATGGCTTTGGGCACTTGAAAGGAGGCTTTGAGTATTCAAATGAGGCTTTAGGCCCTCATGAAAGTGGTGGTTGATGAGTGAGAGGAGAACTGGCCTCAAGGAGACTTTGGGCTCTAAAATTCAGGCCTTGATCTCTAGAAGGAAGTTTGTCTTCTCAGAGAATACCACGGCCACTCAAAAAAGGGCTTTGGGCCCTAAAAAGAATGTTTTGAGCCCTAAAATAAGACTCCAGACCTGAAAAATTAGGCTGCAAGTGATACAACAATGGTTTTGGATACCAAATATAGGTTACAGGCCCTGAAAATATGGGTTTGGTGCTTAATGCCATAGTCTGTTAAACAGAGCCTCCAGTTCCTATTAGTACACTTTCTAGCCACTAAAAGGGAGTTTAGAACTTTAACAGATTGTTTGTGCCCTAAAAACGAAGGTTTGTTCCTTAAAATGAGGCTCTGGGTCCTATAGTGAGGTTTTGGACACTGAGAGTGACTCTCTGAAACCCAAACTCAGGTGCTGGGCCCTAAAAAATGGGTTTGAAACCTGAAATTGAGAGAGTGACCATATGCCTTATTCATATCATCACTTTTCGGATGTATGTACATTCGAGAACAACTATTCTCAAGGATGAAGAATAGCATTTAATCAAAATCTCTGACGGGCACCTTGAGAACTCACTAGGAATTGCAGCCACTTCCATCAAACCAGAATGATGCGTTAGTTTCACAAAAATAAGGTCAAATATCCCACTAGTTTTATGTTATTTAGCTCTATTTTTTCTAATGTTTTAATAAAAAGATATGCATATTAAAAAGTTTTGTTACTTATATACATTAACTGTTTTATATATTTTATAAGTGTCCCAAGATTTTTCCTATTCTCTGCTAGTGGCCCAGACAAGCCAAAATGTTGGACACCCTTGCACAAGAAGATATAGTTTGTTCTCCAAAAGACTGCCTGGACAGAGCTAGTTGGTTTCTCCCAATGCAGGAAAAGACAAAAATTAACATATTTCCAAAGCTGGAGCTATTCTTTGTGAAGCTCTAAGTTCTTGGTGTTGGAAGTAATAAACATACCAGAGGAGATGTAGATAACCTCCTTTTCATTTTCCCAAGAGGGATGGCATCCTGTTGTTTTTTTGCACAAATGTGGTGGCACTGCAAGCTGCTAGGCGAAATATGTAATCCACTATATGATTATGAAGAAAATTGTCTGTCTCTGCTTGCGCACTTGCATGGAGTGTTCTCTCCATCCGCAGCCTAAGTGGTAGATGCCTCAAAATGAATTATTAGTTATGTGGCCCTGCGTTAGGGGGGCCACAGGGCTACATAACTAATATGTCACTGACAAAGTTTATGTGTTTAAAAACTGAGAAGTTACAAGGAAGCAACAAAGAAAAAATGCCCAGTTATCTCCCTGCTATTGCTTCTTGCAGAACATGCAGTGGAGTCATCCAGCCAGTCAAAGCATGAGGTTTTTCTTTCCTCCCGTGTGTGCTTGTTTTCAACAATGGTGTTTCTGGATAGCTCAATGCACCTCTGCCATCTTGTATTTCTCAAGGTTCCTCCTTCATAAGACCTTATAAAACCTGCTACCTCTCCTTACCATTCATGTCAACTAGGTACTCAGTCATTGCAACATCCCCTGGATGCTACCGGGATGCAGTACATCCTGGTGATCTCTCCAAGTGACTGTGTATGCTGGAGGTGGCAACAACATTGTGCCTGTTTTGTGCTGGCATATCTGTCACTTTAGAGGATTTATTTCTTACCTACCTTCTCATCTGAGAAGGAAAGAAAGAGTCAAGGTGAGTTTCTCACATTCTTCTGCAGGTGGGTGTTATGTGACATGTGGCTTTTGTATCCCACGTCACCATAGTAACATCAAGTTGCTGTTTCCTGGCAACTGTCAGTGTTGCTAAGAGAAAAATTGGCTGTGTTTTTAACTGGCATCTTTGAAATCATCCACACACATTACCTTGGGCTGAGTTTGATGGAGATGGAAAGATTTGGTGGCCAGTCTCATCTTTAACATAGATGTGCATTGGTTTCATAAATAATTAAGCATGTTTCTAAGGTACTGAGAGTCAGAAAACACGGTTCTTATTGGTGTCCCTTCTTGGTCCATTCAGTAAACACAGGTGACACTTCCTGTCTTCTGCTAAAAGAGTGGAGAATTAATACACACAGGAGGGAGAAGCTCCATGCTTTGACTGGATGGATGATGATCATAATGGTGATCGATGTGCTGGTTCTCCAGTCAATTTCACAAGTGGAGAGAAAGAAACCTTTGACAAATTGCCTCCTCTACAAGTGACTGATATTTAAAACTTTTTGCTCTGTAACATGACTGTTCACACGCTGTTGGATGAAAGCTGTAGCTTAAGTGAGGAGTGTGTGTGGGGAGCGGAAGGAATGGCAGACTTGATGAAGTATTATTCCTGCTTAGTGCTGTGGAATTCAATGGATTTACGCCAATGCAAATCTAAAGAAACAGTGATGAATTGATAAATCCTACTCACTTGCATCTGCCCACTTTAAGCTGGTGATGGAGCCATTGCTATCTGGTGGTGCATGCCAGAGCAAGGACAGAATGAGTTGTACTCAGCAGTGCAGAGGAGACAGATGGTGAAACCTACCCATTGCAAAATGTGCCAATGGAAAGTAGGAATGCAGATTCTGCAACTTAAGCAGAATCTATCAGAAATCCAAGGATGTTTCAAAATGCTCAGTTTTCTACCAGTTTTCTGCAGATTGCAGTACATTTGTGACCTTGGTGACAGCACCAGCCAAGGTCAGCAGTGAAGAGGACATACATCACTAAGAGAAGAATAAAATTTGCAATGAATGGCTTGCATTTCATTTTTAATTAATATACTTATCTGACCAGAGCATATTAAAATAAAATAGTTATAAGTGGCGTAGTAGCTTAATAGCTGCTGGTCACGATGTTGATCTTTCATTCACAATGTGGTTTTATTTGCTTTTAAGTTTGTTTTTCTTAGAATCAGAATTGTTACAGTTGGAAGAGACCTTTAAATGCCATCTAGTCAACTCCCCTACAGTGAACATGGACACCACAGTTAGATCAGGTTGCCTAAGGTCTGATTAAGCCTTGCCTTCAAAGTCTCCAGGGATGGGGCATCCATTACATCTCTTGACAACCTGTTCCAGTGTCTCACCACCCTCAGTGTAAAAGACTTTTTCCTTATATCCAACCTACTCTCTTTAAGCTTGAAACCACTTCTCCTGGCTCTGTTACAACAGACCCTGCTAAAGTGTCTATCCCCTTCTTTCCTGTAGCTCCCCTTAAAATTAAATGCCTCTTGTCAAGTCCTCCCAGAACCTTATTTTCTCCAGGCTGAAGAGCCCCAGCTCTCTCAGCCTGTCTTCATAGAAAAGGTGTTCCATCCCCTGAGTCATTTTTGTGGCCCTCCTCTGGACGTGATCCAAAAGGTCTGCATCTCTCCTGTACTGAGGACTCCACACTTGGATGCAGAACTCCAGATAAGGCCTCATCAGCACAGAATAGAGGGGTGTGATCATCTCCCTTGACCTGCTGGCCATGCTTCTTTTGATGCAGCCCAGCTTTCCTGATGCAGCCCAGGCTTTCCAGGCTGCGAGGGCACATTACTGGCTCATGTCCTGCATGTAACCCATCAGTACCCCAGATCTTTTTCAGCAGGGCTGTGTTCAATACTTTTATCCTGCAGATTGTACTAGTAGTGGATATTGCCTCAACCCAGTTGCAAGACTTTGGATTTGAACTTTTTGTTCTCGTGAGGTTCACCTGGTCCACTGCCCTAGCCTGTCTAGGTTCCTCTAAATGGCATCCCCTCCCTCTGGTGTAGTGACCACAACCCACAGCTTGTTGTCATCAGCAAACTTGCTGAGGATACACTCCACCCCACCATCAATGTCACTGATAAAGATATTAAAGAGTGTTGGTCCCAGCACTGAACCCTGGGGTATACCAGTAGTCACTGATGTCCATCCATATATTGAGACATTGACCACCACTCTGTGGACTTGATCCGACAGCCAGTTCTTCATCCGTTGAACAGTCCAGCCATCAAATCCACATCTTTCCAATTTGGAGAGAAGAATGTTGTAGAGTCAAAGGCCTATAGATGGCTATCTATCACTGATGACATCAGTGGCTCTTCCCTTGTACAGTGATACCATCATAAAAGTCCACTAGGTTGTTCAAACAGGATTTGCCCTTGATGAAGCCATGCTGGTTCTCCCATATCACCTCCTTATCTTCCATGTGCCTTACCATAGATTCCAGGAGGATCTGCTCCATGATCTTTCCCAGCACAAAGATGAGTCTGACAGGTCGGTAGTTCCTGCAGTCATCCTTTTTACCCTTCATAAAAATGAGTATGATGTTGCCTTTTTTCCAGTCAACAAGGACTTCCCCTGATTACCATGATCTTCTCAAGTACTATTGAGAGTGGCTTTGTGACTACATCAGTTAATTCGCTCAGGACTCTGGGCTACATCTCAACTGGACACATAGACTCATGGATGTTCAGGTTCCTCAGGTGATCACAAACCTGATCTTCGCTTACAGTGGGAGAAACATTGCTTCCCCAATCCCCTCCTAACAAAACAAACATTTGAGAGCTATGTGATGAGCAGTTATCAAGAAGACTGAGGCAAAAAAGTTAAGTAGCTCAGTCTTTTCCTCATCTTTTGTTACCAGTTTGTCCGTATCACTCCCTAGGGAAATATGCCATCCTGGACTTTCCCTTTTCGGCTGAAGTATCTGTAGAAGCCTTTCTTGTTCTTCTTGGCATCCCTTGACATCCTTCTTAACTCCAGCCATATGTTTATCACATTTGAGGCCTGGCCTATGATTCTTCCTGGTTTTGCCATTTTGGAGATAGCATGTGCTCATATTATATTGGTCATTAATTTAATTTGGTACTCGTACTTGTATTCATGGGATTGCTTTTGCTCAAGAACATGGGTGCACATTGTGGGTCATGTAGAAGAATGAAGACATCCAGTATTATCTCAAGGAGATTTGGTATTGAGTGAGAACAGCCAATAATTTGAATCGTATTATGTTAATTGCTACATAATACTCATGTCATCATTACTATGGTTGTTATATGCCTTCTCAACTGTATTGCAGTAAGAATCACCCAGATCAAAGAAGAATGAAATCCGGTGAAACCAGAACTTGCTATAGGACACAGTAATTCAACACCATACCTCATTCCTCCTGCCCTGAAAGATTGTTATGACAGGTGGAGTCCAAACTCTTAATGAAATAAAGACTAAATGAACTCCATGGACAATTTACAGGGATGGCCCATAGACCACAGGAATGACGTGTGTATGTATACATCAAAGAACAATACAGGTAATAATAATTTGTTCAGATGTATAGAAAAGTAGCTGCACTGCCCAAGTTGCAGAAAGTAAAGAACTGGGAGAAAGAAGATCTGCCCTTTGCAAGAGAAGATCAGGTTCAAGATAATCTAAAGAAAGTAAAAGTGTACAAGTCCATGGGTTCTGAAGGAACAGGCAGATGAAGTTGCCAAGCCACCATCTATCAAAGGTCGTGTCAGTCTAGTGAAGCTCCCACTGACTGAAAAAGGGAAACACAAATTCATTTTCAAGAAAGGAAAAAAAGAAAATCCAGGGAACTACAGGCCAGTCAGTCTCACCTCTGTTCCTGGCAAGATCATGGAGCAGATCCTCCTAGAAAATAAAGACAAAGTGATTGGCATTAACCAACATGGCTTCCCTAAGGGTAAGTCACACCTGACAAACTTTGTGGACTTTCGTGATGGAGTTACAGCATCAGTGATAAAGGAAGAGCAATGAACATCATCTGCCTGGACTTGTGCAAAGAGTTTGATACTGTCCCTTTTGACATCCTGGTTGCCAAATTGGAGTAAAATGGATTTGATGGATGGACCACTCACTGGACAAAGAATTGACTGGATGTGATAAGTGTTTTCCTCCTTCTTATTTTGTTTCTTTTGTTTTGTTTATATATAATACCACTTTAGTTTATTTTTCAGGATTGTGTGATTATTTTCTTACAGTACTCAACTTAAATGTTCCTACTTGGAATGCCCTTTGAAATATTCTTCCCTTAGGACCAAGAGGCAGTTATGTAAATAAGCGGGCTTAGCCACCTAGAGATGTTTGTCTGGGTTGCAGAGGTCCCTTATATGACTCTGGAGGAAGGGGGACAACTAGGAGTCAGTTTTGACTCCTTGGCTTCTGGAGCTGAGCCAGATCTACTTCCTAGAATTAAACCAGAATGGTCAGGGGCATGATGACAGCTGGAAATGACCAAGTGATCCAGTGACCATTCCTGTCCTCCTTCAGACATGAGGAGGAAAAGGGAGCAGAGAAATTGGGAAATTGAAAGTGGAGCCTGTAACAGGTGCCACTCACTGTGCCTAGCTACTGAGGGCTTGCTTACAGAAAAAGTTGGCTCCTTTCCACTACGGTACAGGCCTGCTGACTTTGTCAGGTCATGGCAAGGCTACCTTGAGTGTATTATGCTCCCTGCTGCCCTGACAGTACTAATGCACTGTGACTGGAGCTGGAAAGCTATGCTTCAGTTCAGCACAGCAGACTGCAGCCAACTCTAGATACCTTTGCAGATTATGGTGTACATGATGTGACCTGAGATGAGCCATGATGTAGCTCTCAGAGTAAGACTGAAGCACTTTACCAAAAGGAACAACTTAGTGGAATCTTATTGTCTGTTAAGTAGAGTTCCTCAGAAATAATTTCCTTGCAGAAGGTTTGGGATTGCCACAACTGGCTACAGTGAGCATGTGTTTGCATTTTAATGTCACTGGCAGTTTTGTTCTACCCTCTGCCAAAATGGAAAAAAAAAT